AACTGTTGTAAGGCATTTAAGTATTCAGCAGAAGTGTACAGAAATTTCTTAGAGGTGTCCCTTTAATATTAACTTCAGTGGGTGTCCTTAAAATGAATGCAAAACAATAAAAGACTAAAAAGGAGGCAGTGATGCTGTAATACTGAATCCCAGAAAAAGCACAGTAGCAAAAATGTGTTTTCTAACAGGAAGACCAGATGGATCAGCAAACTGAGACCTGGTAAACAGCCCTGGTTCAGCTATTGCACTGACCAACGCTGAGAGTAGCATCTGTTGCCTAGGAAGTCTGGTGAAAGGTACCAGCATCCTTAGTGCCTGAAACACATCAGGTGCTCAGCTCTACTTGCTGAACTGATCTGATGAAGATGCTTTAAAATCAGAGTGCTAGACAGTGTAAAGTTCATGAGAAAATTTCATTTACCATTTTATTTCAGTATGTGAGTAAATTCTGATCTAGTATTTCCAGCGTGGCTCATGTAACACCTTGTGGACTGTGGTAAATGGAATTAACCAAGTATTACATCGGCCATCAATGCCAGAATCTCTGAATATCAGGTCACAAACATAACCAACTGTGCAATATAACCAACATAATGATCAAAGCACACCTCACAATGAACAGATTTTAGTTCAGATGATTAAAGAAAATAAAGTATTAGACTGCATTTAGCACAGTGCTCTATCATACCATACATCAGATACCATGCTGTGGAGATGCACTGGACGAGCATATATACAGTACACAGCCAGGATCCAAACCAGAGTGAAAGGGCGAATATGGAACAGAACACTTTTACATACATGTATACATTTAATGGTCTCGTCCATCGAACTGGATTTATTATACAGTTTGCTGTGCCACATCTACTAGTTTGCATAACATCCCAAATTATTATTATTATTTTTTGCACAAAGATCTACTTCCATATAAAGTAGAAAAAAATGGTGGTTAAAAAAAACCTTCTTCAAGCTTCAATAATTGTGTCCCAAATACCACTGTACGAATACCTAAAAAATATTAAGAATGATTTAGAAATATGCATAATTATAAATGTCCAAACATAGCTTAAAGTCACAAAGGGAACCAGTGAATACTTCCAACTTTTATTTAAACTTACTTATGCCTATTAGATAATGTTGACTATACATAAAAAAGAGGAAACTTTAGAAAGTTAAAATCTCAATTTGCAAATTTTATAACCCTTAATGAGAGGCACATTCTATTAGACTTCAACTAACCCAAGAAAGACTCGTCACTGACATGAAGGCAGAAGAGTCTCTAACCCAAATCATTCCCATCAACTTTCCTTTCTTTCTGAGCAAGAGCATAAGGATTTCCTACAAATTATTTCAAGCAGAATATCTAATTTTTTTTTAATTGGGAAGGTTTACACTAGCATTTTGTTTCATATTTTCCCCATTTGTCCTATGTCCTTTTTCCTTCTTTTTCTGTCTTCTTTCAGATTATTTAATTATGTGTTTATTCCATTTTAATTCCCATGTTGACTTAAATTTGCCAAAGCTCTTTGTTGTGTTGTTTCAGTGGTTGCTTTGGGTTTTTTTTTCCTTAAGATTTAATTTCTTTTAGTGCAGTTTTAGGTTCCCAATAAAACTGAGGAGGAAAAAATTATATACAGTTCCCAAACACCCCCAACCCTCACACACATAGAGCTTCCCCCATTATCAACATCCCCATACATCATACATCCCCAACATCAACATATAACATTTGTTATAGTTGATGAACTTACACTGACACATAACAGTCACCCAAACCCACAGTTAAACTACAGTTCACTTTTGTAGATTCTATGGGTTTGGACAAACATAAGAAGACATACATTCATCCCTCATCCCCAATCTTTTCACTGTCTCCATAGTTTGCCTTTTTCAGAATGTCACACAGTTGTGATCAGGCAGCACGTAGCCCGACTGGCTTCTTTTACTTAGTTACATGCATTGAAGGTTCTTCTTTCATTCAGTTATATGCATTATAAGTCTTTTCATGGCTTGATAGCTCATTCCTTTCCAGTGCTGAATGATATTCCATGGTCTGCAAGGACCATCGTTAACCCATTTGCCTTCGGAAGTACATCCTGTTTGTTTGCAAGTTTTGGCAATTGTGAACAAGGCTGCTATAAAGATCCATGTGTGGGCATTTGTGTGGAAATAAGTTTTCAACTACTTTGTGTACATGCCAAGCAGTGAGACTGCTGGATTATATAGTGAGAGTATGCTTAGTTTTATGAGAAAATGTCAAACTGTCTTCCAAAGTAGCTGTACCATTTTGTACTCTTACCAGCAATGAACAAGAATTTCTATTGCTCTACATCCTCACCAGCATTTGCTGTTGTCACTGTCTTAGATTCTGGCCATTCTAATAGGCTTTTAGTGACAGCTCATTTATGAAGTATTTTTTCCTGTATTTACTGCCATCTGGATACCTTCCTTGGCAAGGTATCTGTTAAGGTTTTCAGTCCATTTTTAAATTGGGTTTGTTTTCTTTCTTACTGTTGAGTTTTAAGAATTCTTTGTATAATTACAGTAACAGTTATCAGATATATCTCTTGTAAACATTTTCTCCTGGTGTGTAGCTGTCTAATTCTGTTGACACTATCTTTTGTAGAGCAGAAGTTTTTCCTTTTCATGAAGTTCAGCTTACCAATTATTTCTTTCATGGGTTGTGTCTTTAGTGTTGTATCTAAAAAATCATCAACATACTCAAGGACATCTACATTTTCTCTTATTTTGTGTTTCTATGAGTTTTAAGATTTTGCACTTTACATTTAGATCTATGATTCATTTTGAGCTAATTTTTGTAAAGGGTATCAGGTCTGATGTCTAGATTCATTTTCTGCATATGGGCAGCCAATTGTTTCAGCTCCATTTGCTGAAAAGACTATTTCTGTGTCACTGTACTACCTTTGCTCCTCTGTCAAACATCAGTGTGTGGGTCTATTTCTAGGCTCTTTTCTGTCCTATTGATCTCTTATTTCACCAACACCATACTGTCTTGACTACGATAGCTTTACAGTGCTTTGAAGTTGGGTAGTGACAGTCCTTCATTTTTGTTCTTTTCCCTCAATATGGTGTTGGCTATTAGGGGTCTTTTGTCTTTTCTCCGCATGAACTTTAGAATCAGTTTGGTTCTCCTCATATAGATGTTGTTGAGTTCTTTTCCTTTTTGGGGGAACTAACGTAAATGGTATTGTGTCTTTCAATTCAGATTGGACTTGTTCATTGCTGGCATACAGAAAAGTGATGGACTTTTGTCCATCACCTCATATCTTGCAACTGTGCTATTAATATATAATCACTTATATGGGAGTTTGTGGATCCTTTTGGATTTTCTACCTAACCATGTCATCTGCCAACAAAGTTAGTTAATTTCTTCCTTTCCAATCTGTATACCTTTTATTTCCTTTTCTTATTGCATCAGCTAGGACTTTGGTTTGATGTTGAAAAGGACTGCTGAGGGCACAATCTTGCCTTGTGTCTGATATTGATAAGAAAGCTTCAACTTTCTCACCATTAGGTCTAATTTTAGCAGTAGGTTTTGGTACACTTTACTAAGTTGAGGTGATTCCCCACTATTCCTAGTTTACTGAGGGTTCTCATCGCAAAAGGATATTGGAACTTGTCAACTGATTTTTCTACATCTTTTGATGAAATCATGTGATTTTTGTTCCCTGTTGATGTGATGATTATATTAATTGATTTTGGAATGTTGAACCAGCCTTGTATATCTGGGATAAATCCCACTTTGAAGTATGTAATTCTTTTTATACATTGTTGGGTTCAATCTACTATTTTGTTGAGAATTTCTGTATCTATGTTTACAGGAGATAATAGTTTGTAGTTTTCTTTTCTTGTAACATCTCTGTCTAGCTTTGGGATTAAGATAACATTGGTCTCACAGAATGAGTTAGGAAGTGTTCTGTCTGCTTTTGTTCTGTGAATGAGACTGCAGAGACCTGGTGTGATCTCTTCTTTAAATGTTTGGTAGAATTCACCAGTGGAGCCACATGGGTCTGGTACTTTCTGTTTTGGAAGGTTACTAGTTATTGGTTCAAGTTCTTTGAAACAGATATAGGCCTTATTCAGATGATCTGTTTCTTCTTGTGTGAGTTTTGGCAAACAGAATTGGTTTATTTCATCTACGTTATCAAATTTTCAGGCACAGAGTTGTTCATAGTGTTCCTTTATTATCCTTTAAATGTCCATACAATCTGCAGTGATGTCCCTGCTTTCATTTCTGATATTAGTAGTTTATATTGGTTTCTTTTTTTTTGGCCTGGCTAGAATCATTGACTTTACTGTATTTTTTCAAAGAACCAACTTTGGTTTCACTAATTTTTTTCTATTGATTTCCTGATCTAATTTTTATTATTTCTTTTCTTCTTTCTACTTTGGATTTAATGTGTGTTCTTCTTTTTCTAGTTTTTTATGGAGGACACATATGATTATATTTAGATCTTTCTTCTTTTCTAATACAATGCTACAAATTTTACTCTAAGTACTATTTGTGTTGAATCTCCCCTAAATTTTGATAAGTTGTGTTTTTTTCATTTAGTTTAAAATACTATTAAATTTCTCTTAAGACTTCCTCTTTGACCCACTTATTTAGAAGTATGCTGCGTAATGCTCACATTTCTGGATTTCCCAGTTATCGTCCCACTGCAGATTTCTAGTTTACTCCACTGTGCTCTGAGAGAAGACACAGAATGCCTTCTGTTCTTTTAAATGTCTTCAGGTGTGTTGTATGGCCTAGGACGTGGTCTGTTTTGACAAACGCTCCATGTAAGCTGGAGAAGAATGTGTATTCCACGGCTGAGAATAAACTTTTAATTATGCAATCACCTCTCCTTTTCATAATGCAGCTCCAAAAAGCAACAACCTCCACTGCGAAGCCCGTGTGGGCTCTGGGTGGGAAAGAGAGGGTAGGTCTGAGGGCAACAGGACTGCCGCAACGTGAGCGCCTACCTGTGCGCCGAGCTGCTTCAGCAGCCACACTCCTGTGCACTCGGGGCCTGTGCACGGCGTGGGGACCGCAGCTGTCTCAAGGCCGCATCTCCGTACTGGATACCCGAGCCCATTCTTTCTGGGTCCAGCTCACCTGAGGATCAAACAAGTCTTTAGAAAAAGTTTTTATGTTTCTGTGATCCTCAAAATATATGAAGTGAAAACAGCAAAGTGCAGAACACTGTGTATATAAAACATTATTTTGAATAAAGAGGAAAAATACACACATATTTGCTTGCATGGGCATAAAAATATCTTTGGATGGGTACATAAAAAACTGGTAATGGTGGCTGACTTCAAGAAAGAGCTCAAGATGCTAGGGGATAGGAGATGGGGGAAACAGAAGGTGACTTTTACTGTATCCTCTTTACTTGAATTTGGAATTATGTGACTATATTATGTATACAAAAAGCATTGAAATGAAACCACAAAGATACCATTCTTCACTATGAGACTGGTAAAGACCCAAACATGATAATACACCCCGTGGACATGGCTTTAGTGAAATAAACACCTTCATTCATACTAGTGGGATAATAAACTGCTTCAAGCCTGAAAGGAGGAATCTGACAGCCTCTACATAAATTCCAAATGCCTACGTTCTTTGACCCAACAACTCCATTTCTGGGAATTTATCCTACATATACACACATTCATGTGAAATGATATACAAAAGGTTATTTACATTGTTTGTGACATCTGGCAACAACTCAAATGTCCAAAGCAGACTGGTTAGATAAATTATGGCAATATACAAAATTGAATATTACACATACACACTATGCATATATATATATACATTAGCATAATGTGTATGTGGAAGTCTCTATTACTGATTTGTAATGATTGGTAGGTACAGTAAGTGCAGAATGTATAGTATGCTAACCTTTCTGTATAAAGTGGTAGAGAAAATAAAGGTTTTTGAACCATATGAATATACTGCCTATTTAGAAGGTTATAATGAAAAAGTACTGCTGAAGAATTCTAACACATCTGTATATTTTTTCACTTGATATAATTATGATTTTGATGATTTTAGGCGAAAAAGATCTTGAAAGCTTTATGTGTGTTAACTTATATGCACTGTCTTCATGGGTGGATACCAAAGGCGGGAAGGTAATCTAAATAAGTTGAGCCTGATTATACTCAACACAATGCCAATTTTAATGCTAACTACTTAGGCTATAGACTCAAAAAAAATAACAGTACTGTACCAAGCTGAGTAACTATTTTGTTGCTGTTTTCAGACCAAAAGCCCACAGAGGGATGGAGCACCCCTCTATCTGCTGAGACCAGAGGTCTGGGCCCTGACACTCTCCCACCACCTTCCCTGCCCCACCCTCTCTGTCAGTCCCCCTCTCACCTTCTCTCCCTTACCTTCCTCTCTCTTCTCCCTCAGCATTTACAGGTGCTAAGATTTCTTCCATTCCTGAAACTTCTCATGTTAAATTAGCCCTCTGCCTCCTCCTCCACGGAGGCGCCAGGCTCTGCTTCCTCATCTCGTCTGTGCTCAATTGCTCCATCTCCTCCCTGCATCATTCTGCTGGTAATGATGACTGGTGACTTCCTCTTGCCCACCCCACTGGATACTTTTCAGTGCAAGTCTGAGCTTACAAGACTTTTCTCCCATGTATTTGATAAGGAACAACCTTTGGCTGAATGTGGGCAGAACTGCCACTCCCACTGATCCTGGGTATCTTCCCGCATCTCTGGCCTTTCCCTCCTCCTCTCTCTCCTTCTTCATCTCCAAGGCTTTGTTCTGGGCCACTGCTCTTCCCACCCTGCACTGCTCGCTGGAGGATCACATTCCCTCCACCGCTGCACCTGGTCCTATAGACTGGCGGCTCCCAAGTGGGCACCGCCAGCTGGATTCTTCCCACAGGTCCCTGGACGGCGCCCTGTGCCTGCGCCAGTGATGCCACCCAGGGAACATTTCAAAACACAACCATCCTGATTCCCTGACTGGCTTCTCCTCCGGTTCTGCCATCTCCTCGCTGAGTCACCTAGCTGTGGCTCCTCCTCTCTTCTGACCCCTGCTCTTCCAACACCCCACAAGGTCAAAAGGCCCTGCCCTGCTGCATCTGAGTCAGGATGCCACTGCCAACGTGTTTCTTAGATTCATCTATGTCCCTTCATCTCTGCTTCCACATCCTTGTTACAGCTTTCATCAGGCACCTTTTCTTGAATCACTCAAACATGCGTGGTTGGTATCCTGGCCATCAGCCCTGGGCTCCCTTTGGTCCGTCTCTGACGTGACCGCCTGCACACACCACGTGTCTCCAGGCACAGCCTGACCACATCACTCTCTGCCTCCCCCCTTGCATGGCTTCCCAGCCCTACAGCAGTGGTCCTCTATCTTGGACGAACATGAGAGTCACACGGGACAGCTTTTAAAATGATGATGCTGAGGCTTTAACTCAGCATCTCCAGAGGTGGGGCCTAGAATTCAAATGTGTATGTATCCCCAGGCGACTCCTGCATCCAGCCAAGGTGGAGACCCAGTCAGCCACGGAGTGAAGTCCAGAGCCTGGGTGACGATCACTGGCCTGGCTGCCGCCGCTCCTCATCTCCTCTCCTGCAGTCCCCACTATGGTCTGTCTCTCCAGTAACTGCAGCTCCTCCCAGTCTTCACCCGCGCTGCCCCTCTGATGGCCTGCCCTCCTTTCCATCCCAGGGCCCGTCCTCCTCCTCACACTGAGAGCCTGAGCCCAGTCAGCGTCTCTTCCTAGAAGCCCTTCCGCCTATCACCTCCTCAGCAAGCGGGCTCCCCTTCCTTCTGTGGCCCCGAGATCTGGTGGCTTCTCCGTCACTGTACTCACCACACCCTTTATAATTATCTTTTCACTGTTTCCCATGAAAGACAGTTTCTTGAGGGCAAGGGTTGGGATCAATTTATTTTTGTATCCCAGCATCTGACAAAGGCATTTGGTTAAATGAATCAATTAAAAATGTAATGTCCACATGTGATTTTGGTGATATTTAAATAAAAATTAAATCTAATAAATGACAACTACATATTATTTTGTCAGCTGCCTATAGTAGGGTTGTTTTAAGCTTATTTTTACTGAAGCAACAAGTAGAACAATAATGAGACCAGTTACTACTGTGACATGCTCAGTTAGCTTCACAAATAAATTCTCCATGATGTCCGATTTACAACCAGCAGCATTAGGCGAGGTGCCCGTAACTCATTTCCCGTCACACAGCTGCTTCCCTGCCACCACAGAGCTGAAGAAGTCCCTGTGGAGGAGGCCTGGGCTTCTACCTCCCCTGCAGACAAGACCTTCAAACCCGTAAGAGGCCACTGAAGGTCGGCAGGTGGAGAGAGGAAACTCCATGACCAAATCACTCCTGGAAATGCTGCAAAGTGACACGACCGAGCTAGAGAGGAAAACGTGCTCCGGGAAAGTTTATTAACGGAAAGCTCTCACCTGACTCAATTTTGTTGAGTATTTTCCTTGCACACTGTACAAAGGCCTCTTCCACGTTCTCCCCTGTTAGTGCACTTGTCTCCAGAAACATCAGCTCTAAAACCAGCATCAAACAAAACAGGAAGCCATACTTAGAAGATAATCACAATTATTCAACTCATAACCACCTGCTTAGTATACTATTCTCTTAGAATAGCAGACAGAAGAGAATTTTGTCCTTAAAACCAGGTATTTCTGCAAACATAAAATCAGTAAATGTCAATCCATACATATTTTTTAAGTCTTAAAAGAACTCTTTCTGAAAAGTAACTAGCAGTGTGTGCCAGCACTTACATGTGCTGAAGAAGAAACTAAGCAAACAGGATGCTGGCAGGGAAGCAGGCTGGCTGAAGGCACCCAGCTGCTGACCTAGGACAAAGCAGCAGCTTCCTTTCCATCGCCACAGCACAGCCTGCAATGCTGGCATCGGGGGCCACAGGCCGTGTGGTCCCTGACAGCGAGAGAGCGTACACGAGCGAACCCTCTGCTTTCTACCAGGCGGTCATTCACCCAGGGGAAGCCTGCTCTCCTTGCTTTTGTGAGCAAACCACCACCTCTCCAGACACCTGTTTCCTTTTTAGTAAAAATGAGGTGCATGTAAATGATAGAGAAATTCCTTTTGAGCATTAACATTCTAAGCTTACATACTTCTAAACAGCTTCTTTACAAACTCATAACGGCTTATGTTTTTATAGTATGCTTATTTTCTTAGCAGAAAACCCGTTTGTGAGAGTGTAAGTTGGCAGTCCTAGAGTCCTGTTGAAAGTTGCTATTAGCATATTTTATTTCCTGACTGGTTCTAAAAATTAAAGTTATTTTAAAATGTCTGAATTCTCGTCATTCTGCTGTCTATAAGGAATCATTCATTTTGTGTCATCCTTATGTATTCTACATAAAAATGCAGCAAGTTTCAAAGGCATCTTTAGCGAAATGACTGAAATTTAATGTAAGCAAAATAAAGTCGGTAAGTCCAGTATCTCATCTACTGCTTCACCTTCTATTTAGATCTAATATTTCACCAAATTAACTTCAAATTACATTTCAGAAATGATAACATCATCTGACTAGGGCCTTTAAAAATTGTTATAATTTTCACTTCAAACCAAGAGCTGTGATATTAAAGATCCTAAACTGAAACACCATCACAGAATGAAAGAGATTAGATTTTATCATCATAGGAACCTCTGCAGGCACAATGCAATAGGCTGAAAGTAGGCTAAATGTCTAATAAAAACAATAGGAGGTTCCACACTCCCCAAATACAGCTTCATCTTAAACCTCCAGTAGCTGTGACAGGTGAAAGGCCACTTGCCATTTTCCTGAGCAAATCGGGAGGCCTCCAGGAAAGTGACTTCCCGATCAGTGTCCAAGTCCTTCTTGTTCCCACAGAGGATGATGACAATGTTCTGGCTCGCGAGCATTCGGGCATCTGTTAACCAATTAGTAAGCGCATTGTAGGTTTCTCGGCTGCGTAATATAAGATTGTGAGAACAGTACATGTATTTTATAAAGCTAGCAACTCTTTCCAGTCACTCACACCACTCACACCGCCTCTACACACATGGGCAGTGCCCACGACCTTCGAAGCACTCAGGACCTGCGCGCCCCAAGGGCACACCACATGCTAAGGGTGTGTTCCACCTGGTTTCCAGGGAGATGCCCCAGCAAGTCAGACAGCTTGCCACCTGTTGCTTCCCCAAGCAGTGTGCAGTATGCACTGGGGTCTTGGTCCACGCAACATGTGAGCAAGACCTAAGACTAACTGCTGTCAGTCGACAAATCTGTGCAACATGATGGTCCTTGGTTTCACAGGAATTTATCACACTGATTCTCTGTGACGCCCTCTTATCATCTCCCATTTATACGAGAAACCTGAGGCCCAGAGAGACTAGTTAAGTTGCCCAAAGTCACACACACAGAGCCAGGATGTGACCAGGTCTGTCTGCCTCCAGGACTGTGTTCAGCTCTTATCTATCTAAGGACAAAATCCTCGTATATTCTAAGGACCGACCAAGGAACTGAATTTTTAATTGAATTTAATTGTGACACCAAGGTGTCAGTTCCATGCAGGACCATGCACTCAGATCCTTATGCTGGGCCAAGAGCTTTATAGGAACCAATTTAACCGCCCAACAGCCTCACAAGTACTGTGTGGTCATCACGACTCAGTGGGACAGACACGGAAACTAAAGTTCAGAAGGCTCACACTGCCTGGGGACAGAGCCAGGATGTGAACCCAGGCCATCCCAGCATACGGCCCGTGCTTGATGGAGGACAATTACTAACAATTTACCACGTGCCAAGCTTCACAGTGCGAACCTTAAGGAAACACAATGACACTGGAGATGCTTTATCTATCTGAAACTTGGGAACACGTTCCACAGGGTAAAGGGGTGAAAGGGGCTGCTCTGAAAACCTGCAAGACCCTCAGGGAAAGGGCGGGGGGTCTTGCTGAGTCCCACCTCTGCTGTCCGCTGATGCACCGGCCGCCTATGGGGAGGTGTGGCCCCCGGGGAGCATAGGCTGAGTAGGGGTGTTATTACCTGGTGATGTCGTAGACAAGCAGTGCTCCCGCTGCACCTCTGTAGTAGCTTCTCGTCACAGACCTGGAAGAGTTACAGGCTTTTACTTTCACTGGAGCAGAGCCCTTGCTCATGAGCAGCAGCCTCCCATGCAAAACACCCATTTTTTGCCTTGACAACTGCAATACAGTGACAGATACCGCTCCAAACAGAAATGATACAAAGACATTTGAAAGCAGACACGAACGGCTGCTGTGTCCAAAACAGTATCACAATAGTGGTAAGGGGGTGGGGCCACGAGGCTGGGGACAAGTGTGACCCTCTATGGAGTGGGGGAGGCCCTGCAGGACTGAGGGGACCTTTGAGAACATGTAGGGGAAAGACAGGAAGGAGGCAGCAAGGCTACAGCGCACGACGCCCTCAGTGGCTCCTCTGCTCGCCTGGGGTCCATGTCTTCCAGGACACGGGCCATCGCACGCCCTGCCCCAGGCCCGGCGGTGCAGCTCGTGCTCCCTCCCTCCTGGGGGCACACCAGTCTGAACCGAGTGTCCACCCAGGTACGTCACGTCCATTCTCACAACCTCCGGGAGTTTTCCTTCAGTAAACACTTGCCTGAATCATGACTCTTTCCCTGTTCGTGAGATTTTCCCAGGGGCAGGATAAAATGTGCTTGGCACCTCCCGTCTTGAACAAGCATGGTGCAGGCAGCAGGGTGCTCCTGCTAACTCTTCCAAAGTGGGTTCTTTTGCACCCACACTTCTGGCTGCTTCAGCAGTGCCTCTTCCTCCTCCTCCTCCACGACACAGCCCGTCTGGGCCACGCAGATGCACGGACAGATGACCCAGTGCCACCTGCCCTCCCCCTCTGCCTGGACCCCCTGCCCCCTCCCTCTGTGCTACAGCCCACTCCAGTTGCATCACTGGAGACACTCTGATTTCACTCTCTTACTTAATGGAGAGTCTGGCTGAGCGTACAATTTTAGGTTGGAAAAAAATGTTCCTGTTGAGTTTTGAAGTCAAGGTTGTAATTATCTTACAGCTTTCAGCTGCTGCTGCTGAACAACCCAGTGCAATGGTCATACTGATCCTTGAGACGTGCCTGCTCTTCCTTCTTAGCATCTCTGGTATCTCCATCCCACCCCTGGCGTTCTGAGATTTCACGTGGCAGACCCTGGCCTCATCTGTGTTTGGTGTAACACAGAATTTTACATTTCATTTTACATACATTTTACATTCTCATTTCCTTCAGTGGAAAATTTTCAACTGTTGCTTTTACTGTTTCCTCTCCTCCTCTGCCTTCAGGAAGGCGTCACTGGTCAGGTCTTGGCCTTCCTGGACTAACTCTGGATGATTCTCCATGCTCTCTTCTCTTTCTCACCTCGAATTTACTGTTTAACTTTCTGGAAGAGTATTACTCTATTTAATACATTATTGTAATTTCTCTTTTCACATTTTAATTTTGTTTTTATTTCCTTGATGCGACCTTTACTCTTACCTATGAGGATATAGTAGTTTTTAGTTTTTGTCTCTTCCCTGAGAGTTCTTACTTATTTTGGGCTCTTTGTTTTGGAAACTTTCTTCACATGTCTGGTGAGCCACAGATCATTTATATTGATCATTTATATTCAGAACTAGGAATACCAAAGTGTAAAAGATGCTCTTTATGTGTGGGGCTGGAGGCTCCACTGTGAGATGGCTAGACAGAGATTGGGCTATTTCATTGGGGAAACCAAAATGTTAGTACCTTTAAGCCTTTTCCTTGCGGCTATTTTTCTGTGGAGAAGAATCGTTTCCTCTGCCTGAGACATACACACCTGGCTGCCAGTAACTGAGAGGAGGTGGGGGAAGAGATAAGGGTCAGCAGTTTTCAATTAACTTCCATCTTTCCAGTCCCGGCCTCACTTGCCCCTGCCCTCTAATGGGCCCCTGCTGCTGCTGCTAAGTCGCTGCAGCCGTGTCCGACTCTGTGCGACCCCATAGGCCGCAGCCCACCAGGCTCCCCCGTCCCTGGGATTCTCCAGGCCACAACACTGGAGTGGGTTGCTATTTCCTTCTCCAATGCATGAAAGGGAAACGTGAAAGTGAAGTCGCTCAGTCGTGTCCGACTCTTAGCAACCCCATGGACTGTAGCCTACCAGGCTCCTCCGTCCATGGGATTTTCCAGGCAAGAGTACTGGAGTGGGCTGCCACTGCCTTCTCTGAATGGGCCCCTACTTTTAGTTTTTTCAGGAATCTCCACACTGTCCTCCTTAGTGTTTGCACCAACTTACATTCCCGCCAGCAGCGTAGGAGGGTTCCTTCCTTTCCACATCCTCTTCAGCATTTACTGTTTGTAGATCTTTTTGTGATGGCCATTCTGATAAGTGTGAGGTAATATCTCATTGTAGTTTTGATTTGCATTTCTCTAATAATTAGCAATGCTGAACATTTTTTCACGTGCCTACTGGCCATCTGTATGTCTTCTTTGGAGAAATGCCTATTTAGGTTTTCTCCCCATTTTTTTGATCGGGTTTTTTTTTTATATTGAACTATAAGAGTTTGTGTATTTTGGAATTTAGTAATCCCTTGTCAGTCATATCATCTGCAAGTATTTTCTCCCAGTCTGTAGGTTGTCTTTTTGCTTTGTTTATGGTTTACTTTGCTGTGCAAAAGCTTTTAAGTTTAATTAGGTCCCAGTTTTAAAATTTTTGCTTTTATTTCCATTAAAAATGTTGCTGTGACTTATGTCAGACAGTGTTCTACCTCTGTTTTCCTGTAGAAGTTTTATAGTATCTGATCTCACATTTAGGTCTTTAATTCATTTTGGGTTTATTTTTGTGTACAGTGTTAGAGAATGTTCTAATTTCATTCTTTTACATGCAGCTGTCCCCTTTTCCCAGCACCACTTATTGACAAGACTGTCTTTTCTCCATTGTATATTCTTGCCATCTTTGTGGAAGATTAATTGTGAGGATTTATTTCTGGGTTCTCTGTTCTGTTCTATCAATCCATATGTCTGTTTTGGTGCAATACCATGCTGCTTTGATTACTGTAGCTTTGTATTCTTGCCTGAAGTCTAGTTATGATACTTTTTGAAGCAAACAAATATTAAGCATTTAAAATACTATACCTGACTTTAAGTGAAATGCTTGCACTGGGATTGAGTTTTATTTAACTGAATTTTGAAACTATGAATATCTTTTGTTTGACTTTGTGTATTGACTCAAAAAACACAACCAGAATATTAATTTACTTTCCTGCTTTAGCAATTATTGTTTGTTTAGTGTTTAAGTTGTGTCTGACTCTTTTGTTACCCCATGGACTGTAGCCTGCCAGGCTCCTTTGTCTATGGAATTTTCCAGGCAAGAATACTGCAGTGGGTGCCATTTCCTCCCCCAGGGATCTTCCCGACCCAGGGATCGAACCCACACCTCCTGCACTGGCAGGTGGATTGTTGACCACTGAGCCCACTTCAGTAGTTATGGAATATCAAACATGGAACTTATCTGCAGTGATCTGGCGGTTATTATTCCAGATATTGATTATGACTTGAGTGTAATGAAAGTGCTAAGGAGAGAATATTTTGTGGACTGTTTAATGTAAAGCAAAACCAACCCCCAAAGAGATTTTAAAAAATTCCTTATGTGCAATGCTACACCCTCCTAGTGTGCCACTAGGTCTCAAAGAATAAATTATCCTTCAAATTAGAAAATGTTCATTTGGAAGTGATTCTAAGGCAGGAGTCCCTAACCCCCAGGGCAGATAGCAGGAGATAATTGGTGGGCCAGCCAGTGAAGTTGCATCTGCCCTCCCCATCACTTCCCATCGCTCATATTACCACCTAAACCATACTCCCCCCTCGTCTGTGAAAAAACTGTCTTCTGTGAAACCAGTCCCTCATGCCAGAAAGGTTGGGGACCACTGTTCTAATGCATTCTTCCATAAATCAATGCTGAGCGGGACCACTGTTCTAACGTATTCTTCCATAAATCAATGCTGAGTGGAGAAAAACAGGGTTTTAGCGTGTCTTAATGCTTTCACAGGTGAAAGCGTTTCTAAAACCTGTGGTGGGGAGGAGGGGATTACATACATTAAGAGACTATAATTGATTATTTCAAACCAAACTTTCAAATGTTATTATTAAGTTAGAGAAAAAGCTACCTGAATCGTTCTTGGCCTGCTGTGTCCCATATCTGTAACTTTACATATTTACCACCAACATTTATTATCTTGGAACCAAATTCCACTCCTATTGTATGATTTGAGTCATCTTTGACTGCAAAAGAAAAAGAAATTTAATTTTAGGACATTAAGGTAACAAGCTTATAAATTTAAACAAGTAACATTCAAACAAGAGTTAAGTCAATGGAGAATGTAATTTACTTATGCCATTCATTCCTCCAAAAGTAAAATGATAAAAAGCGCTCACTGCTTTAAACAGAATACATACAGTTTCTGTTCTCAAAGAGCCAATCAAGTTTTTTCCCCAAACCCCTAAACAAGCCATATACTTCAAAGCCAACGCTTTAAACATGTGGTGACCCTGCCAAATGAGGCCATATCTACCTGACCACTATTAAGGTTCTCAAGAATGGTAACTGCACAAAATACTGGGCACCATCTTGAGAGGCTTCCTGCCCAGCGACAGGCTGCAACTCGGCCCATGATGGTTTCAACTGTTCGGACAAATACTCTAAACAAAAAAAGTGAAGGGAAGGAAAAGCACTGTAGCCCAAGAAGGAAACTCGATGGATACCAAATATTAAGGGGAAAATAGGAAAGGACAGAGTAAAAAAATGCAAATACCCGCTCCCCCCCAAACCAAGACCTCTATGCACATTATTACAGCTGTCGATTTTCATGAACTTTAGCATTGTGTGTGGCAATCATTTGGAATGAATTTGTTGGCAAAATCAATACTGTCTGAATGGGCAGGGATGCAGGCAAAATATGTAGTTTGCCAAACCCAACTGGAATAAGCTATCTATAAAAGAAAGTATCTGTGATGATAAAAAAGGAATAAGAAAACATCCTGGCTATACAGTCCATTGACTGGTCATGGTGCATGACCACAGGATAGAATTTACTCGCAACAGCAACCATCTGACAGCTGCGCCCCCTCCCTGCCGGGTACCTGGGGGCAGGAGGCTCGAGTCCGGCAGCCTGTCTCACCCTGCACGGCGCAGAGCCAGCGAAGACACTCGCCAGCACCCAGCCACTGGGCCAGCCTAGGGGGAGACGCCTCCAAAGCTGACAGCTAAACGCCAGGTTAGCATGCGGCTGAGAGAAACAGCGCCACTGCGGGCATGAGCAGCGGAGGGGGGCTGTATGAGGGGAGTGCCTGCCCGGGCCCGGCATCCGGCCAGTGTGCTGTCTTCTGAGACGGAACAACGCGACTGAGCGGCTGGTTCAGAACCCTGGGCCCACCCCGCAGATGAGCGCTTGTCAATGCAGTGGGCACTGGCTCCGTGACTAAGCCACGCCGCGTCTCCGTCACCACACAGAGACTCCAATGAGCTCCTGGTCGAAGGAAATGGAAGAAGCAGAAAACAGTCTAGAGTCTTACTCTTCAAGCTCTTTACCAGGACACCCTCTGTCTGCATTTTACCCACCATCTAACATATCTCACACACCCTTATTTAGGATGAATTTCATTAAATGAAATTAATTCTGTTTTTGTGCCTTCACCTGACTATAGAAATATAGACAGGTCATTCTCCACAAGTCTTTCGATAATTATAAAAGAACAGTATATTTCAAGGGCCTTTCAAACCTACCATGTCATACAATAGTTTGGAATACAAAATGTAACCTCCCTTACAACGTGGGGCAAGTCAATGGCAAAAGATATTTCTGTGGGCAAAAGGCCTGGGTGTGAGTCTTACATGTGCAATCACTACCTGTTTCTTTACCTGTAAAACAGGACTGATGACAGCAGCTGCCTTAACGACAACACAAGGCCGCTGGGGACCAAACACTACTTTATCCAAAGTGTACAACTAGGGTTATCGGGCCACTCCCTGTCAGGAAATGGAATTCCACAGCATTATAAGGTATTTTAGTATCTGGAAAATGTACAGGACAATTTACTACATAATGAACAATGACCCGCTATGAAACTGAAGTGCTAAATAAAAATCAGATTACTAAACATTTAATAACATAAACTTTTATTGTCATTTAAAAATATCTGTAAACTACAACTTTCTTCCTGCAAACATATTCAGAAGTTTTGCCGTAAACAAATCTGTGTAGGAGCACGCTCTCAGAAGACAACATAAAAGGAGCCCTGACCACGTGACGTCACTTACATTTTTTTTCAATAAACTGATGAAGCAAGCAAGACTTGCCAGTTCCGGCATTTCCAATAACCAAGAATTTAAACAAAAAATCTGAAACACAAAAAGAGACTGTGAGCAGTAACATTAAAACAGGTGCTATGAACTTAGACTATAGTCATAAAATTTAATGAGATTGTAGTTGTTAACATCACAGAAAAAAGAGGTAACTGAACATTTTGAGAAAATGGCAATAAACACATTGACTTACCTTTCCACCTTTTCAATACCTGGCTTACATGCTAACCCAGTGCCTTTTCTAACTCCTCTGGGAATAATTTCTTTTGATACTGCAAGTTTGAAATGTAATAACTATAATGAAAAAAGTGACTAAAATCTCTCTGCTATTCAAATAAATATGCATATCCAGTGACAAGTAAAAATCACTTAAAAATTTCAAATGCTTTCTATACAGAGGAAAAAACTTGGTAGACTCATGGGCTTTGAGAAGCTCACTCCTTTCTTCTTTTAAAAAACAGGTGCAACTTCTCCCCGCCCTTGCTTCTGTGGCTTGGCCTCTGTCCCCGCACCCAGGGCTCATGGGAAGGCTGCTTCTGGTCAGTATTACCCAATTTGGTCAGTATTCCACGTGTGAAGTTTGTCTCATTCAATATAGGGAGAGCTCTTCACTTCTTCTTTACACAGAGGAATATATTTAATTTGGGATCTTATTTTGCATAAACTGTAAAGAGAGGCTTTCTAGCATGGAACCTGTGAGTCAGAATGAGGGGCACGAGTAGCCTGACACTGCCCTGGTGATTCATGTTGCTTTTTCTGATGGCAAAGAAGTCTAGTTCTCTCAGCCTAGCCTTGCGAGCACAGCTCCCACCCTCACACTTTGACCGCCACCCACCTCTGCCCACCCCAGGCTGCAAGGCTCACCTGTGGCTCTGAAGGCCCTGCTCTGCGCTCCTGGTTCCCGTGGCTGCACCTCTGATGCTGTCACCTCCACACTCCCGTTTTAGACCTGACCACACACGCCCAGTCCTGGCTCCTTCTCTCCCCCAGCTAAGCCCAAGCAGTCCATTTCTTAGCTTATGCTTGGCCCAGCCCTGTTCCTAAGAACTACACTCATTATCACTCAAAGATGAAACCTATTCCACCTCTCATATTTACAGGCATTTAAACTTATAAGACAGTGCTATTAGGATTGTTAGTATTTACAAATACATTTTTATGCGTCTCACTGACTGTTTTACAAGCATGCCACACTCATGTTCATGACAGCACTATTCACAGTAGCCAAAAGATGCAAGCAACCTAACTACCGATTAACAGATAAAGAATAAACAGAATATGGTACATATAAACTTTGGATATTATTCAGCCTTGAAAAGGAAGGAAAATTCTGATACATGGTACAGTATGGATGAATTTTCACACTGTGCTAAATGAAATAAGCGGACACAAAAGAAGACATACCAGAAGATTCTATTCACATAAGGGGCCCGGAGTGCTCAAACTCAGAGAGACAGAAAGTAGAATGGTGGTTGTAGGGGTGCTGGGGGAGAGGGAATGTGCAGTCAGCATTTAATGGTTACGAGCATTGGTCTGGAAAGGTGGAAAAGTTCTGAGGAGGAATGGTGGTGATGGCTGTACAATGAATGTGAATGTACTCAATGCCGCTGACTTTAAAATGGCAAATCTCATGTTACGTGCGCATTTTATCACACACACAAAATAAAACATGCCAGGTCCGATCATTTGCACTGAACAGCTTTTACAGCCCAAGAAATTAAAATATCCAAGTTAAAATGACAATACTAAAATTTCCCAATTTTGTTCAATATCCTCTCTGAGAAATAAAGCCCAATACATTGTTGTATAAGTTGTAACCACAGGAAGATGAGAACCAGGTAAGAATGCTGCCACCGTGTAGGCAAAAGTAAGTCTTGAGAAAGTAATTTGCACACACAAATGGGAGTGTTTCTCATGCTTCATATGTATACAGCAAAAGGAGTTTCACTAATCCATCTAATCCTGAAACAAAACTCATATGCCTAAGCACAGACTTTGACTTAAAACTTGTTCCTTTATTATTTTCTGCTTTGGAAGTTCTGCTTAAATGGACTTCATTTGGACAGAGGAGCCTGGTGGGCTACTGTCCATGGGGTCGCAAAGAGTCAGACATGACTGAGCAACTAAGCGCGCGTGCGCTTGCACGCACGCGTACACACACACACACACACACACACACACACACACACACACGGTAACTGCTTTCCAGATTACACCACAGTCTCAACAGGTAAAAGGGTAACAGTGTCAGCTGATTTCACCTTGCTGGACAAGAGACAAGTAAGATGTGCAATTTCCGTATTTGAAAATATTTAATTCCTCCAGAAAACTCTTCACACTCTGAATCTTGTAACTCAAAGAGCTAAGTTTTCTTACTTAAAATAGAAAAAAACCTTTTTGTTTGAAAACTCCTTTGGAGTCAAACATCTAGAAATGCTAGATAAAACATATCACATTAAAAAAAACTCTATAGCTGACCTTTCAGGAAGAAGGACTGGAAAAAGCAGTAGCGGCCCTAGAGGGCTGTCAGTTTTGGGTCTTAAGACATGTGGGACAGGGTTCAAGAGTGTCCCCACGTGAAGGACGGAGGACAGAGGTCAACCTGAACTTTCTTCAAGGCTCGGCCTGAAGTGAAAGACAGGCTGGGAAATCCTCTCACCAGCTCAGGGGGACAAGGAGCCTTCTCTGACTCTGTCTGGCCTCTCAGCAAAAAAAAAAAAAACTCAAAAAACAAAAAAACCATTCCCCTTTGAAGATTTATTATGAGCTGGCTCCACAGGAGTTTGAAATTCAAACCAAAAAACATGTGGACGGTGAAACTCCAAGTCAAGAAATTTAAAACAGTAAAAATGGCCCTAGACAGCGACGTCACCAGGATGCCTGGAAGAAGCAAACCAGATCACTCTGGATCACTCTGGAATCACACTGGCTCCCAGGTGGTGCGAGTGGTGAACAATACGTCTGCCAGTGGAGGAGACATAAGAGACCTGGGTTCAATCCCTGGGTCGGGAAGATCCCCTGGAGGAGGGTATGGCAACCCACTCCAGTATTCCTGCCTGGAGAATCCCATGGACCAAGGAGCCTGGCGGACTGCAGTCCATTTGGACCCAACTGAAGGGACTTAGCATGCTGGGAGGACACCTCCTCCAACCAGGATACTCAGGAGTCCCGGACATATAGCTTCTCCGAAGATGAGCTCACAATTTAAAACAACAAAACACTCCAGGAAACAATCCATCGTGAGTGAGTCAGCAGTCCAAAGATATTACACCCTTAAGAATGTGATTTTAAAAGAACCTGGTAAGGGACTCCCCTGGTGGTCCAGTGGTTAAGACTGTGCCTTCCAATGCAGGGAATGCAGGTTTGATCTGACTGGGGGGCTAAGATCCCACATGCCTCATGGTCCAAAAAAAAAAAGAATGTGATGACGTATACTCAACATGATTAATGCCATAAAAAAGGAATTGAATGCATAAGCAAAGAATAAAATGATTAGAAAGAATAGATCAATTTCCAGAATGTGTCTAAAATAAAAGCTGCAATCATTAGAAACAGTCAATGGATAAGTTAAACAGCAGAATGAACAAAATTAAGGAGAAAATTAGTGAACTGGAATAGAGACTGGAGAAAATTACCATGAGGCAAAATAGAGAACTGAAGAGAGAGAAAATATGAGAGTTTAAGAAAAATGCAGAATTGCAAGTGGGTCCAACACAAGTCTGATATGTATTTTGGAATAAAAAGAGAGAGTGAGAGACAGAATGCGGTAGAGAAAGTTAATGTTAAACTGTAACAACAATCAGTAAGAAAGGGAAAACTCCCTAGAAGAAACTAGGTTCCTTTGGGGTTAATCAAAGGTCACCATCTTCAGTGCTGAGACAGGAGCATGGAAACAACGCACTGTCTAATGCAGAATTCAACATATAATGATCACCCTAAACACCAAGCTGGACTTTTGCTTCCAAAAAGAGGGAGCAGAAAGAAGCACTTTTCCTCATTCCCCCTGCTCAGTACAACCTAGGATCCTAGGCATCACACATAAAAGAAACAAAAGGAGCCTTGGAAAAGTGTAGAGAAGGTGACAAGCTGGCCAGAGACCTAGGGGCCTGGGGAATGACACAGTGGGTTTTTCCGTGGGTTTTCTCCTTTTCCCTCCTCTCTCCCAGGCAGGGAGCTGAACAAGCTAACAGCCAATGGAGGCAGATTTTAAGAAGCCCCAGCAAAAGCCTGGTCTCTCTACTCAAAGGACCAGGAAAGGCCAGCCTAGCAAGACAGAAAACTTAACACAAAACTGCTCTACTCCAAACACTACAGGAAGAACTCACCCCAGGTCTCACCCTACCCACGCCAGCAAAGGATGGATGGGAACCCGGACAGCCACCCTTTGGAGGCTGTAATGAGGGTCCCCCAGCACCAGCAGGGTGGTGTCTCAGAGACCAGGGCCGGGGCTGCGAGCCAGCTCTGAGCTGTCCTTGCCGCCACTGCACGCCAGGTGAGACACGGCAGCGGTAGGGGGGAGAGGGCGCAGGTCACAAGAGCTCTCATCCCCACTCAGCAGCACAGGGAGCAGCCCCTCCGCCCGGACGTCCACGGACGCTCAGACCGCAGCCTGGACTTCCACCTCGACCTGGCGGTAACGAGGGTGGCTAGGAGCAGAGATGAGCTACACGAGACTTTAAGATCGAGGGTCTCACAACATGATACAAACATTCCCTGTTTCGAGTAAAAATCCCTCATCATAGCAAGAACCAGGAATACCTCAAACAAAGGAAGAACATCAACAGATTCCAATGCCAAGATGACAGACACGTGGAAACTCTGCCAAAGATTTTAAAGCAGCCATCATGAATGCTTCAACTAGCAGTAAGACATGTTTGAAACACATGAAAAGCAGAACTCTTCACCAAAGAGAGAGTATCATCAAAGAAAAAGAAAGCACATAAAAGAACCAAATGGATGTTTTGGAATTAAAACATACAATAACTGAAGTACGGGGCTCAGCAGATGGGCTCAAAACAAAATGGGGTAAAGGAAGC